AATGAAATAAATGAATACACATCAGTAGAAATAAATACAATGCCTCTGTTAAGGACATTTTATATGTAAATGTGTTTATTGAGGTATTGTTTTATTTAAAAATGTAATAGTATATCCAAGAAAATATTGTTGTTTCTCTATTGCTACATATAGGCATTGTGATTTGAGTTTGATATCCCTATCTTTATGTAGAATCTTTAATTGTCATGAGAAGTTAAGTGGGTGTGTGTGTGTTGTGAAAATGTGTGTATGTATTGTCTGTTATGGAATTAAAACAATGTACCTACACTGGGATTAGTAAAGCATAAATAATAAATGTTGGTTGAGTGGTAACCATAGACTATTTTTAACCAGGTATAAGACTGGGCATTGAGGAAGACAGGAACAAAAGAATAATGGGGAAAAATCTATATTTCTATCTCAATAACCCTACTTATTTGAAATATCTGATGATAAACCATATGATTAAACTTGTCATCACTTATTTCTGAGTACCAAATGTTGAAAAACCCAGGGACCAGACACAGACAGTGATATAAATTCTAAGTAATGCTGGAGACAACATTGCCTGGGTAGATAGAACCACATCCAGGAGAAACATCACAAGTTTAGTCACAGGTACTAATAATTTTGGGTGTGATTTTCTCATTTTTTATTTTATTTTTCCTTAGTTATTTTCTTCTTTTCATGAGCATAATAAATTTCACCTTTAGTAAACAAAATTGTATCATGTGTTGTGGAGAAAATCTTAAATATTTACACATTTTTAGCACAGAGTGTATCTGGGTAGACTTTAGAAATGTAAGCGCTAAGTGCCACTGAGCCAAAATGATACATCCTCTTCTGATTTAGAATCAAAAAGAAAGAACACTGTATTGGTTATTTTCTATGCAAATACATTTTATCCAGTTAAAAATGGATATGTATTATTTTTTATAATAAAGGCATAAAGTCAAAATAAGGGTTTCACAGTGTTACTATACTTAATGCATTTTTACAAAGTTTAAAACCAATCACCATAGGTTAAATTATAATTATAAATGACATTTGATTTTAATTCAGAATTTATTTATTTGTCTATTTCCTGAAGAGTGTCTTTGTGGTATGGACAATATAGGAATGGCTATAAAAATTCCCCCTGACAATTAAGAAAAAATTTTTTAAACTTTTTTTATTGAATTACAGTCATTTTACAATGTTGTGTCAAACCTGCCAATTATTAAGCAGAATTAAAATAATACTGCAATAGTTATGTACACAAATCACATACCAATGAATACATGCATTCAACTCAGTTTCTCCATCTCAATCCAACATATGTGTCCATGCATGTTGGAACACACATTCACACAAATGTACATAAGATAAATGAACATATGCACTTGCATTCATATTGTTCCTGGCAAGCAAAGGACACGGCTTACTGACATTATTTATCTCCCAATACCAAATGATAAAATTGCCAAGCTGTATACACATCCATGTAGCAGAAGTAATTTTCTCTCCAGCCTTTCCTCAAGCTGTTAGTTTATTACTTGAATATAAGGTATCTGAGCAGCTCTTGTGGTGTCACCATTAGCTATAGAGAGTTCATAAAGTGATTGTTTTTTTTAAACATTTTTTATTGAGTTATAGTCATTTTGCAATGTTGTGTCAAATTCCAGTGTAGAGCACAATTTTTCAGTTATACATGAACTTACATATATTCATTGTCACATTTTTTTTCTCTGTGAGCTGCCACAAGATCTTGTGTATATTTCCCTGTGCTCTACAGGATAATCTTATTTATCTATTCTACGTATGCCTGTCAGCAGCTACAAATTTTGAAATCCAAGTCTGTCGCTTCCCACTCCCTCCCCCTTGGCACCCACAAGTTTGTATTCTATGTCTATGAGTCTGTTTCTGTTTTGTATTTATGTTCTTTTTTTTAGATTCCACATATGAGCAATCTCATATGGCATTTTCTTTCTCTTTCTGGCTTACTTCACTTAGAATGACATTCTCCAGGAACATCCGTGATGCTGCAAATGGGGTTATGTTGTCTGTTTTTATGGCTGAATAGTATTTCATTGTATAAATATACCACTGCTTCTTTATCCAGTCATCTGTTGATGGACATTTAGGCTGTTTCCCTGTCTTGGCTATTGTAAATAGTGCTGCTATGAACATTGGGTGCAGGTATCTTTTTGAAGTAGGGTTCCTTCTGGAGCGGGGTTCCTGGGTCATAAAGTAAGTCTATTCCCAGTCTTTTGAGGAATCTCCATATTGTTTTCCAAAGTGGCTGCACCAACCTGCATTCCCACCGGCAGTGCAGGAGGGTTCCCTTTTCTCCACAGCCTCTCCAGTATTTGTCATTTGTGGACTTTTGAATGACGGCCATTCTGACTGGTGTGAGGTGATACCTCCTTGTAGTTATGATTTGCATTTCTCTGATAATTAGTGATATTGAGCATTTTTTCATGTGCCTATTGATCATTTGTATGTCTTCCTTGGAGAACTGCTTGTTGAGGTCTAGGACACTTATAAGCATCATCAATTCTTATTTATAAAAAGTCTTTTTGCTTCGCTAAACAGAGAGAAATCTGTAAGACTAATCATCATCAGTTTCAATACACGTGAATCAAAAATTGTTCTAAAAGTGAAGATACAGTGCAGGTATTAAATCAGCACATTTTTCTCGTTTTTATTTCCAAAGATTGTTAATGGAATCGAGATATTCTCACAAACTACACCTATGTTCACAATTAATGCAGTTTAAGAATTGATTTTAGATACTGTTTTTTGAATCTGTCGGCCTTTCATGCATTGCTTTTGACATTCCTTCATATCCTTTTTGTACTAGAAATATTCCTAAACGACGTGGTGAAAATGAAAGTTGCAAAAATAAACAAAACAAAGAGTAAGAAAAAGACGTGAATTACTTAGTGCGGTGGCGGGAGGGGGTCTTTTTGTATTTCATTGGGCTTCTGCTTTGACTAGATGCCAAAGGTGCAGATTCAGTGTAACTGCAGCTAAAAATAAAAAAGTCATTTGTGATTTTCTTCCTGTTAGATCAATGTGTTAACAATAGTGAGAAAATAAAGCTCAGTTTTTGCTAAAGTTGTCTCTGTATTCACTGGGGAAAATACAGAAAAGAAAATATAATTAATCATATGTTAGCTTCCGTTGAGCCAGAGGCAGAAGCCTCAGAGATTTAAATCCCAAATGCTACCTGGTGAAATAAAATGCCATCTGCTTATTGTTTAGCCACCAGTAGCAAGGACAGAAAGAACTGCTCATCTCAGGTACGTTCCTGACTATCCAAATTTAAGAATATAGGAGAAAAATTTTACATTAAAAAATGAGAGACTTGTAAATTAATCATATGATGTCTGCTTATTCAGTTTAATAAACTCATCAATTTAATGGTCAAAAAATAATATTTTCTTCTCAGACCTGGAAGAATCTATCCCAACTTATTTGTAGCCATAAAATATTGTTTTAATTATTTTCTTTTAATATAGGTTCACAGGAGAGTCTGTACTCTTTTATCACTGGGGAAGTATTTATATGAATTTACATAAAAAATTTTTTTCAAATATAATTTAGGTACCACTTTATAAATAACAATATGTGCAAACTTAACTGTCTCTACACTACATGCCAGATATACTTAAATAAAAAAATAATCATCACCTCCATTCTTATTCTTATATATCAACAGAGACACACATTCATACAAACATGACTTACGCAAATACACACACACACACACACACACACAAACAAGGAGGAGACTATATACATCAGAAGCATTTATTGTCCCTCAACCCATTTTCATATTTTGAACATAACAGTCCACTTAAAATCAAAGAGATGCAGCTGTGTGCATTAAATTCTGTTGTTTTCACTTCTTTTTATCACTTTTCTTTGACTACTCAAGAGATTCATTCTCTGGCCCTAGATTACTCCCCAAATAGGTAATGAGAATTGTGTCAAAGCAACAATACATTTCTAGAGTAAAGGCCAATAAATCTATTTCATCTTTCACCAAATAGTAAAGATAACTTAGACCAGGACCAGTAATATAATATCCTTTATTATTATTATTATTATTTATTTATTCAGTATTATTATTAGTCAGTGATGTGCTCACGGTTTCTAGAACCAAGAGAAAAGCATTTTAAACCATTGTTTATTTGAGCTGTGTCTTTTGAGAAACATAACAATGCAAAACATTTTTTTGTGTCCATGTGATTATTTTCAAATATAGAAAATGTTTAGTCCTGTATCTTACAGCCTGGTCTCTCTAACATTGGTGTTTTTACCATGGTATTTTTGAATACAGAATAAGATGTTAATTTATTGAATTATGCTTACAAAGATAAAAAAGCTAAAACCCAGAAAAATGAAAAACTCATAGAAAATTATATACATCATGATGGCATGCAGATTTAGATTAAAAGTTTTTTTTTAATGTTGATCACAATTTTTGCTTGTTTTAATTGTCAAGCAGACAGCAATGCTCCTTCAAAGAGTGGGCACTTGGCTGGGTAATTTTCTGAGTATAAAAAGATAGTTACAGAAAGAAATTGTGTTCTACTTTGTAGAAATTTTGCAGATGTCCAGATACTCCTCTATCCTTTTCTTGATTATTTTGTCAAAAATTCAGACAAGAAAAAAGAAAGAATGAGAAAAGAAAATTGCTCCGTGACTGAATTCATTTTCTTGGGAATCACCAGCAGCCTGAGCATGAAGGTGACCCTGTTCTCCTTGCTGCTACTTGTGTATCTCATTAATCTCCTGGCCAATCTCGGAATGATCTCCCTAATTAGACTGGATTCCCAGCTGCACACACCCATGTACTTTTTCCTCAGCCACCTCTCTTTCTGTGATCTCTGCTGTTCCACAGTAATTGGCCCCAAGATGCTGGTGGACATATTTGCCAAAAAAAAATCCATCCCCTTCCTTGGCTGTGCTCTGCAGTTCTTTGTCTTCAGTACCTGTGCAGATTGTGAGAGTCTCCTGCTGGCTGTGATGGCCTATGACCGGTACAAGGCCATCAGCAACCCGCTGCTCTACACAGTCAGCATGTCCGGCAGCGTGTGCTCCCTGCTCGTGGCGGGGGTGTACCTGGTGGGGATGGCGGATTCTTTGATGCACACGACATTAGCCTTCCGCTTGTGTTTCTGTGGCTCAAATGAGATTAACCATTTCTTCTGTGATTTACCTCCTCTCTTCCTCCTTTCCTGCTCTGGAATACAGGTTAATGAATTGGTATTATTCACCATTTTTGGCTTCATTGAACTGAGTACCATTTCAGGAGTCCTTGTCTCTTACTTTTATATTATCCTGTCAGTGTTGAAGATCCACTCTGCTGAGGGGAGGCTCAAAGCTTTCTCCACCTGCACCTCCCACTTAACTGCCGTGGCCATTTTCCAGGGAACTATGGTCTTCACGTATTTCCGGCCGAGCTCTTTCTACTCTCTGGATCAAGACAAAATGACCTCACTGTTTTACACCCTTGTGATTCCCATGTTAAACCCTCTGATTTACAGCCTACGGAACAAGGATGTGAAAGAGGCCCTTGAAAAATTGAAAATTAAATTGAAAAATTGAAAAATGAACGATGGTTTTTAATATTTATGTTATACATATACCCATATATAACAATTTTTATAAAATTATATAATACATGAGAAACATGATGTTCTCAGCAACAATACTAAAGCTCCGTCATAAGAAAATGTTTCAGTGTCTCAAACTTACGCTTCATTATGTGCCTTGAACTTATCTATGAAACTCCCTCTTCCCGTAAAACTTCCTGACTCTTCTAATTTTGTCATATTTTATTTGTTAATATGTTCATTCAAATATTATCATTTCACATACATTAAGGTTTGTGAGTGTTCACTTTTTTTTTGCATTTAAGTGCTTTGCATTTCATGAAGAATCCAGTAGTTTGTGCACTAGTGAATCCTAAAGCCTAGAGGAATAAACAAACATTGATTAGGCAGACAAATAATTCCTAATAAGAAAAAAAAACAGAAATACAAAACAGGAACAGACTCATAGACATAGAATACAAACTTGTGGTTGCCAAGGGGGCGGGAGGTGGGTAGGGACAGACTGAGACTTCAAAATGCAAAATAGAGAAGCAAGATTATACTGTATAGTACAGGGAAATATATACAAGATCTTGTGGTAGCTCACAGCAAAAAAGAATGTGACAGTGAATATATGCATGTTCATGTGTAACTGAAAAATTGTGCTCTACACTGGAATTTGACACAACATTGTAAAATGACTATAACTCAATAAAAAATGTAAACAAAAAAAGTCCTAATGAGGTTCAAAACTCCCATTTAGTAGAAAAAGACTTCAGGTTAAAAATCTAGAAACAAATGTCAAAATCTAGTGTGCAGAAAAAAAGGCTTTTTTGGATAGAAGTATTTACTCTCAGATCTAAGAAGTGTTAAGATGGGGAAGTAAAGGATTCTAGGCAGATGGTCTGACAGTTACAGAGGTCTTGAGAGGAACAGTTTTATACCTTTTTAGAATTAAGAAATTCAACATGGATAGGTGATAGACAGTAACATAAAGTGCCTTGGCGAATTACATCATTTGCTGGAATTATTAGCTATCAGCGCCTCCCTCTTCTCAGCTCTGATTAAATGTCCCTTTTTTGGTTCACATAGAACCATCTTCTTCAGTCATTCTTTTTCATATAACCTTGTTTATTACATCATTGCCTACAATATGAGACTGTGAGCAATCTTTGCTCAAGGACTGAAAATTCATTCCTATTATCCCAAACACTTACATAGTCTGGGACAAACAATGGAAAAAAAGAAAGATGAAAGGAAGGAAGGAAGGAAGGAAGGAAGGAAGGAAGGAAGGAAGGAAGGAAGGAAGGAAGGAAGGAAGGGAGGGAGGAAGGAAGGAAGGGAGGAGAGAAAGAAAGAAGAA